AATAATAATTTGTGAGGATGTACACTAATCAGAAATAGTTGATATATATAATAGAACATCACTATATATGGCGTTATTTACAATTTTGTAATATACTGTTATTAAAAGAGGTAATTGTTATTGTTGGTTTAATATACATCTCATTCGTTAATATATTATTAAATTGATCATGAGAATTATGATTATAATAAAATTATCATTCATCATATAGACTATAACATTTAATCATTCAACACTATAATACAATCATTATATTATCATATATTATTTATTAATCAATACAGTCTTTATATACCATAATTACTTAATTTCAATTGCATCATATAAATAATCATAATATTTATAAAGTATTTAGTAATAAAAGTATTAGTATTTAAGGTATATAGTTAGTATATACGCCAATAAATTGTTAGTATGAGTAATAATAGTCTATCATCATAATCATTCATCAGAGAAACATTTATAGTCCATATACATATTGCTATCGATGCTTATTAAATGACAATCACACGTCCCATAGTTATTAATGACCTTTATCCTCACAAGTTACATCATGGGAAGTAACATTAAAAGAAAAATGAATAAATGGAATAGATTGGATAAAAAAGAGTGATAATGCAAAGTAGAATAGATTGAATAAAGAATGAATGAATGGAAGGAAGAATAGATGAAAAATATGTATAAATGAAAGAGTAATACACAAATAAAATGAAGAGACATAAATGAATACTGATAGAATATATAGAATAGACAGATAAAGAAAGAAAGAAAAAAGGAAATAGATGAAAAATATAATAAAATGAAGAGTAGATAACACGAATAAATGAAGAAACACATAAATGAATAATGGATAGATAGATTAGATAGGCAGATAAAGAAAGAAAGAAAAAAGGATTAGATTAAAATATATAAATGAAAGAGTAAATACACGAATAAATGAATAAGCGGATAGATAGATAGATAGACCAGATAAAGAAGAAGAAAGAAAGAAAAAACTAACCCTTCTCTCCTCTTCTCCAAACAGGTAAAAACATCCCTCTTCACGTGGTTATTGAAACCATCCCTCTCTGCGGCGTGGGCGTCGGCATGGGCGTGGAGGAGCTGCGTGGGCGTGTGGAGATGGACAGCTACGCCCTCATCCCTGGCCACACCCGTTTCACCGACCTCCTGCAGGCGGCGCTGGTGAAACTCGGATATTCAGAGGAACTGACGCAGGCTAGAGGTAAGGAAGGGGAGAGGAGAGGAGGAGGAGGAGGAGGGGAAGGAGGGAGGAGGGGTGGGTGGTGAGGAGGAGGAGAGTGGGGAGGAGAGGAGGAGAGAGGAGGAGGAGAGGAGGAGGAGGTGGGGTGGGTCGGTGTGGTGTGTGTGTGTGGTGTGTTGTGTGTGTGGTGGTGTGTGTGTGTGTGTGTGTGTGTGGTGTGTGTGTGTGTGTGTGTGTGTGTGTGTGTGTGTGTGTGTGTGTGTGGTGTGTGTGTGTGTGTGTGGTGTGGTTGGTTCGGTTCGGTGTGTGTGCGTATGCGTGCGGGTGTGTATCACACACACACACACAATAAAGAGAGAGATGGGATAAAAGGGGAAAGTTAGACAGAGAGAGAGAGAGAGAGAGAGAGGAGAGAGAGAGAGAGAAGAGAGAGAGAGAGAGAGAGAGAGAGAGAGAACGAGAGGAAGAGACAGAGAGAGAGAGAGAGAGAGAGACTAGAGAGAGAAGAGAGAGAGCGAAAGAGAAAGAGAGAAGAGAGAAGAGAGAGAAGAGAGAGAAGAGAGAGAGAGAGAAGAAGAAGAAGAGAGAGAGAGAGAGAGAGAGAGAGAGAGAGAGAGAGAGGAGAGAGAAAGAAAAGAGAAGAGAGAGAGAGGGAGGAGAGAGAAATAAGAGAGAGAGAGAGAGAGAAAAGAAAAAGAAAGAAGAGAGACAGAAAGAAAAAAAAAGAAAAAAAGAAAGAGAGAGAGAGTGCCTCGATTATCCCAAGAAAGTTTAGACCTCCTCATATGACACTATTTTCTTCCATCAAACTCGATATATGCCTCATAGATGATCGCCAAGGAAGAGACATAATTGGAAGTAAAATGGCAGTAATAACCAAGCTAACCCCCCCCCCCCTCCCCCTCCCCCCCTCCCCAAAATAGAATCGTCGAACCCACTTTATTCATTTTGATAATTCTGAATTGTTCCTTTTTTTTTTTAGATCATTTTTGGTATTATCATTGTCATTATCTTTCGTTATTGTTATAGATATTATCGTCATAATCGAGTAATTGTTATTATTATTGTTATCATTATTGTTATTACTGTTATTATTGTTATTATTTTATTATCATTATTATCCATATTATTATTATTACTATTACTAGTGTTATTGTTGTTGTTATTATTATTATTATTATTGTTTATTATTATTATTATTTTTACATTGTTATCATTGTTATTATTATTATTATACAATGTTTTTGGTTGTTGTTATTATTATTATTATTATTATTATTATTTATTTGATTATCATTATTTATTATCAATTATCATTATCATCATAATTATTATTATCATTGATGTTATTACTGTCATTCCTATTATCATTATTATTACTCTCGTTGATTACTACTATTGCTACAATCATTATCATATCATGATGGCATGATATTATTGATCATTATCATTTTTACTATTTGCTACAATCATCATCATCATCATCATCCTCATTTCTCAACAGACAGACCTTTCTCAATCCTTCTCTTCGGTTCCTTCTTCAGGCGTCCTTCAGCTGAGACACTGGCGACCTCTTCCCCTCGAACACGTACCTGAAACGGAAGACAAGACGGTGGCTGAAGTCCTAGGGGACGTCGCCCCCCTCGCCACGCTGCACGTTCGGATCTACAGGTCAGTTGGGGTCGTCTTGGGAGTTGGGGTCGTCTTGGGAGTCTTGGGTTGATTTTGGGGGTGTTTGTTTGTCTGTGGTTCTGTTTGGTTGTTTGTTTTTGTTTGTAGGTTTGGTGTTGTGTTTTTTT